TCAGGGGATGCCATATGTATGCGCCCGGTGAGTGAAAACGCAGCTGTCCATTCAGCGCTTCTTGTGCAGCAGTTTTGGGCCAAACACATTACTCAGGTCCGACAAGCAGCATATTTCCCAGATCTCACCCCATGCGACTTATTCCTCTTTCCAAAAATCAAATCCCACTTGAAAGGAATAAAATTTCAAGACGTCGAGGAAATCTAAGAGAATGCAATGAAACAGCTGCTCGTTGTCCTTAAAATAGAGTTTCAAGAATGATTCCATCAATGGAAATGACGCTGGATAAAGTGTGTGGCTTTAGAAGGGGACTAATTCGAAGGAGATTAAATGTCGAACTGATATGTGTTATAGTTTTCTTTTTATTGTACCAGTCTGATACTTTTAGATCAAACCACGTATATTAGAGACTGTTTCATGATTTTAGGACAAATTTTAAAAATAATACACGTGGCGTATTAGATACGAAATGACTGATCAAAAAGTTACCAATCATTCTCCGAAATCAATATTATGGCGTTTGGTCGTTGAAATTCTGATTTTGGGAAGTGGTTAGATCCTAGAACTTTTCAACACCTTATCGTATGTGTAAATAACATCTAATATTTGATTACAGGTGTCAATGCAATTTAACTCTTTGAGCCTGCGTTCCTAGACAATTTGAACCCTTTTGCCTGAACTCCTGAGTCAAAAATCGCAGACAATTGGTATGAAATGTTTCACGGTAGATATAAGAAATAGTTACAAGTGTTTCTCCACCATTCAACCGGTGGCTGGAAATTGAGTCATTTTTCTCTACCACTGTTCAATCGGTAGTTAGGCATTACGTCATTTTTCTCTACCACTGTTCAACTGGTGGTTAAACATTACGTCATTTTTCTTTACCACCGGTAAAGAGGTGGTCAGTGCTGAAAGAGTTAAGTATGAACTTTCGCTAAAGCTGGATTATTGAAATTCATGTGAGGGGATTCTAATTATACACGGAACATGTGTTATAATGGCTTGGATTATAAGAAAGCGTTTTATAGGAATGTTATAAGCATGTTATAAGGATGTTATAGCATCTTATAAGAAAATTATAAGAACGTTATAAGCGTGTTATAACTACGTGATAAGAATGTCATAAGAACGCTATTAGTATGTTATAATCACGTTATGAAAGTTTATAAGCATGTTATAAGAATTTTATAATCATTTTATAAAAGTTTATAAGAATGTTATAAGCATGTTATAAGAACTTTATAAACATTTTATTTTATGTGAACATCATAAGCATGTTATGAGGACGTTGTAAGCATGTTATAAGAAAGTTATAAATATGTTATACGAATGCTACAATCTTATTAAAAGCATGTTATAGGAATAGGGTTGCGTAATGTATCACAAAATCTGGATTATTGAAATCAATACTATTGAATTCTAATTATACAATGAGCATTTAAATGGCTCGTCTGCATGTTTTAAGTCTGTTATGAGAATATTATAGGAATGTTTTAAGAATCTCATAAGAATTTTATAAGCATGTTATAAGAAAATATGTTGATATTTGTTCTCAGCAGAGTAAACTTGAACCGGAAGTACTGTGAGGTTATAGATTGAAGTTTATGGCAATTTGAAACCTATCCTGTTTAGAGTAAATTGAATCCTTTAAAAAATTGAAGCAACATCAAATTTATAGTCAAATTTAGTTATAAGACTGAGGACGGACATTATTGGCGGTTTGAGAAAGGTTTAGGAAGATAATTCCTCGAAAAACAAAAAAGAAGGATGGGACGGAGTTGGACATGACCAAAAGGATCGGCAGAACATAAGCATGAGGAGAAAAAATCGTTCCTGTTTGAGATTTAAGGGTGAACAAAAATTAAGAGCAAAAATATTAACTCACACCCTTGACATACTTGGTTCAGCCAACACATATTTATCTGAGGTGAATGGTGACTGTAGGTGAATTTTGATTTTACTAAATATGATGTTTATTCAAAGCAAAGATTACTCAGAGGTCGAAAGGATCCAGTTAAAGCAAATGCAAGGCATAGAGGAGGAATGATTATGGCGGCAGTTTCCTGGGAGGTTGAAGAGATTTTGCTAGTTGACATTTTAGGTTGAACACCTGCTTATTAACAAAATTTAGCTAAAATGTTAACCCATTCATCTCATCAAAATAATGGAGACGTTGCGAGAATTTCGATGAGATATCATTAAACCCCCACTTTAAAGCCGCTAAGACGCAATCTGGTACTAAGAGTGAAAGAGGATGCGAAAATGTTAGTGATGAGAAAGGACAATAAAAGAACAGGTTTCAGTAAGACAGAGAATGACGATTGACGTTGTATTTAAACTTAAGATCGCAGGTGACAAGAAAGCAAGAAGCTAGAAGAGTTACACAGGCGAGAAGTGCGAAAGAAGAAATATTTTAAATCATTCCAGGCGATAAAGCCACTAAGACACAGGTGGTTAAAATGAAAAAGAATGAGAATTTTAGTAAGGAGGAGGAAAAGCAATAAAAACAGGTTTCTGGAAGACAGAAAATGTCGACTGACGTTGTATTTAAACTTAAGATCGCAGAACAAGAAAGCAAAAGCCAGAAGAGTTACACAGGCGAGAAGTGGAAGAAATATTTTAAATCATTCCACTCCCATGAAAGGCGATAAAGCCACTAAGACACAGGTGGTTAAAGGGGATGAAAAGAATGAGAATACGTTAGTAGGGAGGAGTGAGGAAAAGCAATAAAGAACAGGTTTCTGGAAGACAGAAAATGTCGACTGACGTTGTATTTAAACTTAAGATCGCAGGTGACAAGAAAGCAAGAAGCCAGAAGAGTTACACAGGCGAGAAGTGCGAAAGAAGAAATATTTTTAAATCATTCCACTCCCATGAAAGGCGATAAAGCCACTAAGACACAGGTGGTTAAAGGGGATGAAAAAGAATGAGAATACGTTAGTAGGGAGGAGTGAGGAAAAGCAATAAAAGAACAGGTTTCTGGAAGACAGAAAATGTCGACTGACGTTGTATTTAAACTTAAGATCGCAGGTGACAAGAAAGCAAGAAGCCAGAAGAGTTACACAGGCCAGAAGTGCGAAAGAAGAAATATTTTTTAATCATTCCACTCCCATGAAAGGCGATAAAGCCACTAAGACACAGGTGGTTAAAGGGGATGAAAAAGAATGAGAATACGTTAGTAGGGAGAAGTAAGGATAGGACAATAAAAGAACAAGGTTCAGGAAGACAGAAGATGGCGATTGACAGAAGAGAGTTTCACAAGCGAGAACGGAAAATATTACAAGGGAACTTAGAGTTGTGCCTAGCTATTTCAAGTTAAACAATGTCACGTATTTTCCAGTCCAGTACTATCTAGACGAGATACAAAGTAGGAAACCTCACATGAAAGTATTTACAGAAAAAGACACAGGGAAGCCACGTTATGGTGACGAGAAAATGACTGAAATCGAGATGCCAGGTCAGGACCGTTAATATTACAGACTATTATTTCTTAACCTTAAAAATGTTTGTAATGTACTCATTCTGAGACTATTAATGGCGTAAAAGCAACTGTTAAATTCTAAAGACCTCCGGTTGACGAATATGCAATGTGATAGGTCTGGCATCTCGTCTACAGTCACTTTCTCACAGACGTGCTGTAGCTTCCCTCTGTCTTTTTTACAAATATTTTCATGACAACTGCTCTGAAGATATACTTTCACTGGTATTCAAGATGCATGAATTTAAGCGTGTTATTAAGTTGACATCTCTTCCCAACCTTTAACTGTTGAAACGGTTGAATGTAGCCATCTATTCTACTCCAACAGCTTCTTCTCTTGCACTTCCTGACAGTGGAACTCCCTTCCTCTTACTTGCTTCCCTGACAACTATAGTCTTCAAAAATATAGTCTTTACTCTTGCTCTCACTCTCTGTGACCCCTTGCATGCCAGTGGCACTCTCGCTATCACTCTCTGTAACCCCTTGAGTGATAGTGGCACCCAACATTGCTTGGGGTGAAATGTTTATATAAAAAAAATCCAGGGTGCTAGAAATAGTTGGTATCATCACGTACAGGGGAGGCTTGATGATGATGGAGCTTATGTAGAGAAATAAAATTTAAAGGACTGAATTCTGAATTAAAGAAAAAGTGTGCAAGTCAATAAGAAACACTACCTGCCAAAAAAAAAGTTTTGTTGAAATCGGTTGAAAAATGTAGGAAATCCGATCCCATATATAAACGAACACACACACACACACACACACACACACACACACACACACACACACACACACACACACACACACACACACACACCTGGGTTTTATAATAAGTATAACTCGATATGAGTTGTCCCCCTTTCATTCTCGCGATGTCTCTTAATCGTGTTTTCAAATTGATTTTGTGCAAAAACAATTGTGTTTTTCGAATTTTTAGCACTGTCAGAACCACCGCAAAGTAATTTTACGAAGTCCTGTGAAGTTTTGTTAAAATCGGTTGAAAAATGTAGGAAATCCGATCCAATATATAAACGTACAGACACACACACAACCTGGGTTTTATAATAAGTATGATCTATGGTGAAAAATTACATGTATTTATTATTTGCGAATTTTGTCCCAGGAGCTCAGGCAGAAAGGGTTAAAATTGTTCAGAAAACGCAGAGCTAAAAGGGTTAAAATATAACCTTAAAAATATTTGCTTTTAATTTTTCCACGTGTTTTTAATGTACACTCCACCTGCCGATTAGCCTTCACTCTATAATTCCTGATAATAAAGGAAGTATATTTCGTATCATTGCAAAGAATTCATGTATGATGAGGTGGGGGGCGAGGTAATGAAAAAAACTAAAACCTTACCAGACAAACCCCCATCTTCTTTCACTAAGCGGTCAGTCAAGAACACATATCTTCAATGCCACTTTGGTGTTGACCCATCGTTCAGTACATATTCCCAATGGCCTCACAGAAGAAGCCACTGAACGGTCGACGATGATAGTGACGAGAAAATACTATAAATATCTTATGAACTTTCTGGTGGTCTTCGACGCGTCAAGTATCGGCCGTCTGTCCGGGAAAAGTGTAGGTGTAAGCGTGCGAGGGGCGTGAACGGCATTTGGCCAATCAAATCGGAGAAAGGTGTGAATGCATTTGTAGAAGAATTACAGCCTAAAAAAAAGGACCTGCAAGCGATGAGGGCGAGACAGAGTTTATCCAAAAGTGGGAAGAGAAAGAGAAGGAAAACAAAGAGAATTGAAAAGAAAGAAAGAAAGAAAGAAAGAGAGAGAGAGAAAGAAAAAAGAAACTTCAGGCAAACAGAGCGAATGAAAAGAAAGAAAGAGTTGGAAAAAAGAGTAACTGAAAAAGTAAAAGCAGGTAAAAAGAGAATGAATCGAAAGAAAAAAGAGAGGAAGAAAAAGAAAGAAAGAATAGGGAAAACATCGAGAATGAAAAAGAAAGAAAGGGTAAGAAAACAGAGAGGATGAAAAAGAAAGAAAGAGTAAAAAAACAGAGAGGATGAAAAAGAAAGAAAGAGTAAAAAAACAGAGAGGATGAAAAAGAAAGAAAGAGTAAAAAAACATCGAGAATGAAAAAGAAAGAAAGAGTAAAAAAACAGAGAGGATGAAAAAGAAAGAAAGAAAGATAAGGAAAAAATAGAGCATGTAATGTTTATATATATACCGGACTCATAAATAATTACATCATTTACATAACCACATGCTTATCCAGACGTCTTACGTTACACCTATCTGATCACAGCTCCATTAGAACCCATTTAAACACACACACAGATTTACCCGATTCTATTAGGAACATACTAGTAGAAAACACAAATATATTAACTGCATCCACCTGCAGAAAAAGACTAAAAATAATGGAAGCTTTAATAATAAAAAAGAAAAAGCCAACTCTTAACAATATTAACTACGAAAAAAAGCCACAATGTGCTAACCGTATTCGGAAATTAAAAACATTCCTACCACACACTGATACATACACAGAACGCAAGCACTTAATTAAACTGAAAAATCGAATCATCGTTGATAAGGGCTAAAGGTATAGCCGAAAGCGCTCGGAAAGATAAAACATTTGGATAGTTCTGACACACCCTTTGTCCAAAAAAGAAAGTTCTTGTTAGAACACAAGAAAAATTAAATAAAAAGCTTAACCGTAGTACCTTGTCTGTCGTTTTTAATGAAAATGCATAAAGGAAGGATTGCTGCCTAAATATATATATATATATATATATATATATATATATATATATATATATATATATATATGTATGAACATTACATTTATATAAATTTGATGGATTGATTTGTTTTTTTTTTTACATTGTCAACCTTAAGCAGGTTATTTAAAACCAGAAAATATTTTTTAGATTGTAAGAATTGTATGGAGATAATGATTTACTGATCCAAGTCTTTCTAATTATGCCATAGATTAGGGGAGAAGTGATGAATTTATACCTTTCTTTGCACGTAAGTGGCTAAAACGAACCCAACTGGAATTGGAACTCGGCTCTACGATTAATAATTCCGATCCATTATCCATTCTACAACCCGTGCACACAAGTTTGCAGCACCTGGTATTGCCAAGCCGTCATCCATCTAGGTAGTGACCAGGCTCGACGTTGCTTAACTTCGATGACCGTTCGAGAACCGGTGTTTCATCGTGTTCTGGTCGTGAGCCATGTATATATAAACCTTATATATATGAACATTACACATATATAACCTTGGTTGATTAACTTGTTTTTTTTTTACGGCTTATCAACCTCTAGCAGGATATTTAAAGATAGAAAATGTTTTTAGATTGTAAGATTGTAAGATCTTTTAGGGGATAAAAATAATTTCCTTATACAAGTTTTAGTAATTAGTTAAGTTGGATTCATGCCTTTTCCAAGGATATTTGTGCCTAAGTGAATATAACGAACCCGACTGGAATTGAAACTTGGTTATTCGATTTCTAATTCTGAGCGGTTGTCCATTACACCAGCCGCACACCCAATCTTACCTGGTATTCACAAGCTGTTATCCATCTATGATCTGTATACTTCTAAAATTGATATAATATATAAAGCTTACATCATGGAATAAATAAAAAGTCATAAATATATATATATATATATATATATGACTTCAAGTATAGAATTTATATATACGGAATAAATTCCAATAACCCAAAAATACTATTCTTAAAAGAGTACTCAATACAGAGTAGAGAAAATATAATTTATTCGAAAATTATAAGACAAATATGGTATAAAATCACATTTTATAACATATTTATGTTATAATTTCCGAATAAATTTTATCTATATATACATCTACGTATGATATTTATATATCATATATATATATTATATATTATATCATATATATAAGTATAAATAGATCCAATTTTTTTTGTGTGTGTGTGTGTGAGTGTGAGAAAATGACAATTGAAAAATTTTAGATTTTGCCGACGCGTTTCGTCTTCCGACTTTTTCAAGGCAAAAAATAAAATCGAAATGTCTTTGTTGTTATAGTTACATAAAAAAATCCAACAAAGACATTTCGATTTCATTTTGCCTTGAAAAAAGTCGGAAGACGAAACGCGTCGGCAAAATCTAAGATTTTTTTTCCAATTGTTATTTTATCCAAATTTGCATTGTCCACATAAGTGATCTGGGAATTTAACTATATATATATATGTGTGTGTGTGTGTGTGTGTGTGTCTGTGTGTTGAAAAACCGAAAACACCAAAATTAGAAATCAACCTACCGTCGTTTTTGGTTTCAAACATGTAATGAGCATCTATGCAGACGTTTATTGCCAGCTGCCTGATCGGGGAAGCAAAGCATTAGAGAGAACGTATCCTGCTTTGGTAAGCACAAAAAAATAGAGAATTATTCATTAGCATAACAGCAAAAGGGTGCAGTCTGCAAAACAAACCCAAGAGAAAATAAGATCGTTAGCGTGTGGGGGGCTTCTACACACCCGACACATTCATTTGTTTCATTCACTGGAACATTAGCCATTTTACTAATGTGTTTGAATGTAGAAAAATGTTCGTTTGTAAGAAAATAGCATAATGACAAATCTCTTAATTCATCTAGAAAATTCAGCTAACCATGTTGGACTTTGCATAAATACATCTAAAACTGAATTCATAACCAAGGTTCAATACAAATTAAACTAAACTAAAACTGAATTTACAAACCAAGGTTCAATACAAACTAAACTAAATTAAACTGAATTCATAACCACGGTTCAATAAAAAACTAAACTAAATTAAAACTGAATTCATAAGCAAGGTTCAATACAAACTAAACTAAATTAAAACTGAATTCACAAGCAAGGTTCAATACAAGCTAAACTAAATTAAAACTGAATTCATAACCAAGGTTCAATACAAACTAAACTAAACTAAAACTGAATTCATAAATCAAGGTTCAACACAAACTAAATTAAATTAAAACTGAATTCGTAAAGCAAGGTTCAAACGAAACTAAACGAAAGTAAATTAAACTGAATTCATAACCAAGGTTCAATACAAACTAAACTAAATTAAAACTGAATTCATAACCATGGTTCAATTCAAACTAAACAAAACTAAAACTGAATTCTTAACCAAGGTTCAATACAAACTAAACTAAATTAAAACTGAATTCATAACCAAAGTTCAATACAAACTAAACTAAACTAAAACTGATTTCAAAGCAAGTTCAATACAAACTAAACTAAATTAAAACTGAAATCATAACCAAGGTTCAATACAAACTAAACTAAATTAAAACTTAATTCATAACCACGGTTCAATACAAACTAAACTAAATTAAAACTGAATTCATAACCAAGGTTCAATACAAACTAAACTAAATTAAAACTAAAAACTTTTCATAAGCAAGGTTCAATACAAACGAAACTAAACTAAAACTGAATTCATAAACAAGGTTCAATACAAACTAAACTAAACTAAAACTGAATTCATAAACCAGGTTCAATACAAACTAAACTAAATTAAAACTGAATTCACAAGCAAGGTTCAATACAAACTAAACTAAACTAAAACTAAAACAAACTGAATTCAAACTAAACAAAACTGTTCATAACCAAGGTTCAATACAAACTAAACTAAATTAAAACTGAATTCATAAACAAGGTTCAATACAAAACTAAACTAAATTAAAACTGAATTCATAAGCAAGGTTCAATACAAACGAAACTAAACTAAAACTGAATTCATAAGCAAGGTTCAATACAAACTAAACTAAACTAAAAACTGAATTCATAAACAAGGTTCAATACAAACTAAACTAAATAAAACTGAATTCAAACCAAGGTTCAATACAAACTAAACTAAATAAAACTGAATTCATAGACAAGGTTCAATACAAACTAAACTAAACTAAAACTGAATTCATAAACAAGGTTCAATAAAACTAAACAAACTAAACTAAACTAAAACTGAATTCATAACCAAGGTTCAATACAAACTAAACTAAATTAAACTGAATTCATAAGCACGGTTCAATACAAACTAAACTAAATTAAAACTGAATTCCTAACCAAGGTTCAATACAAACTAAACTGAATTAAAACTGAATTCACAAGCAAGGTTCAATACAAGCTAAACTAAATTAAAAAATTAAACTAAAAACTGAATTCATAACCAAGGTTCAATACAAACTAAACTAAACTAAAACTGAATTCATAAACAAGGTTCAATACAAACTAAACTAAACTAAAACTGAATTCAAAAACAAGGTTCAATACAAACTAAACTAAATTAAAGGTTCAACCAAGGTTCAAACTAAACTAAACTAAAACTGAATTCATAAACAAGGTTCAATACAAACTAAACTAAACTAAAACTGAATTCATAACCAAGGTTCAATACAAACTAAACTAAACTAAAACTGAATTCATAAACAAGGTTCAATACAAACTAAACTAAACTAAAACTGAATTCATAACCAAGGTTCAATACAAACTAAACTAAATTAAAACTGAATTCATAACCACGGTTCAATACAAACTAAACTAAATTAAAACTGAATTCATAACCAAGGTTCAATACAAACTAAACTGAATTAAAACTGAATTCATAACCAAGGTTCAATACAAACTAAACTAAATTAAAACTGAATTCATAACCAAGGTTCAAAACAAACTAAACTAAACTAAAACTGAATTCATAAGCAAAGTTCAATACAAACTAAACTAAACTAAAACTGAATTTCAATTCAAACTAAACTGAATTCATAAACAAGGTTCAATACAAACTAAATTAAACTGAATTCATAACCAAGGTTCAATACAAACTAAACTAAATTAAAACTGAATTCATAACCAAGGTTCAATACAAACTAAACTAAAACTAAAAAACTGAATTCATAACCAAGGTTCAATACAAACTAAACTAAACTAATACAAATAAACTAAACTAAAACTGAATTCATAACATAAGGTTCAACAAGGTTCAATACAAACTAAACTAAAAACTAAAAAAACTGAATTTCAATATAACTAAACTAAATTAAACTGAATTCAAGGTTCAATACAAACTAAACTAAATTAAAACTGAATTCATAACCAAGGTTCAATACAAAAAACTAAACTAAATTAAAACTGAATTCATAACCAAGGTTCAACAAAAACTAAATTAAATTAAAAATTCAAACTGAATTCAATAAAACCAAGGTTCAATACAAACTAAACTAAATTAAAACTGAATTCATAACCAAGGTTCAATACAAACTAAACTAAATTAAAAAGGTTCTGAATTCATAAGCAATGTTCAATTCAAAACTAAACTAAACTGAAACTGATTTCATAACCAAGGTTCAATACAAACTAAACTAAATTAAAACTGAAATCATAACCAAGGTTCAATACAAACTAAACTAAATTAAATTTCAAAAAAATAAACTAAACAAAACTTTCATAAACCAAGGTTCAATACAAACTAAACTAAATTAAAACTGAATTCATAACCAAGGTTCAATACAAACTAAACTAAATTAAAACTGAATTCAAACTAAACAACCAAGGTTCAATACAAACTAAAACTAAAACTAAATTCAAACTGAATTCAATAAATTAAAACTGTTCAATACAAACTAAACTAAATTAAAACTGAATTCATAACCAAGGTTCAATACAAACTAAACTAAATTAAACTGAATTCTGAAGGTTCAATATAAACGAAAAAGAATTAAAACTGAATTCATTCAATACAAACTAAACTAAATTAAAACTGAATTCACAACCAAGGTTCAATACAAACTAAACTAAACTTAAAACTGAATTCAAAGCAAGGTTCAATACAAACTAAACTAAATTAAAACTGAATTCATAACCAAGGTTCAATACAAACTAAACTAAACTAAAACTGAATTCGCCAAGGTTCAATTCAAACTAAACTAAACTAAAACTGAATTCGTACAAGGTTCAATACAAACTAAACTAAATTAAAACTGAATTCATAACAAGGTTCAATACAAACTAAACTAAATTAAAACTGAATTCATAACCAAGGTTCAATACAAACTAAATTAAATTAAAACTGAATTCATAACCAAGGTTCAATACAAACTAAACTAAATTAAAACTGTTCATAACCAAGGTTCAATACAAACTAAACTAAACTAAAACTGAATTCATAACCAAGGTTCAAATAAACTCTGACAAACTAAATTA